AAAAGGAAAGGGGGCAAAGTGGCCCATAGCTGGGGGTGGGGGAGGATCGCTGGAGTGTTTCTCACAGGAGAAGGCAAACCTGCGTGGTGGGGAGGGAGGGCATGGGGTGAGGGGAGGCGGTCTGAGGGGAGCTGTACCCCACAGAGCCGTGGAGGGTGGAAAACAATGCTTTGTCCTTTGCGCAGCTCCCTGTGAAGTAGTGGTTATTATCCCCTTGCCAGGGGGAGGAAAGTGAGGCGAGGTGAGGTGACAGCGAGAGAACCTAGGAGTTCTGACTCCCAGTCCCCTGCTCTAACCACTAGACGAGACTGCCTTCCGGGGGGGGAACAGACCCCAGGAGTTCTGACGCCTAGTCATCTGCTCTAGCTACTAGTCTGTACTTCCTTGTTACACTGGGGTATAACCCCAGAACTGTGATTCCCGATCCTTTGCTCTGCCTCCGAGGCCATGTTCCCTTGCCCAGGTGGGAACAGAACCGTGGGGCCTCTGTCCTGGGTGCCTGCTCTGGCATGGGGAGGAGCAGGGGCCCTGGGTTAGATTCAAGGAGCTGCCGTTCGCAGGTGGTGCTGCGGCTCCCACTGCCCATGATGACCAGGTGTCCGGTTTTCGACTGGAACAGCCGGTCGAAAAGGGGCCCTGGCGGCTCCAGTCAGGACCACCGACCAGGCCGTTAAAAGTCCGGTCTGCAGTGCTGCAGCGCTAAGGCAGGCTAGTCCCTACCTGCCCTGGCACCACGCTGACCCGCAGAAGCGACCAGCAGGTCCGGCTGCACCCCAAACCCCTCATCCCCGGCCCCACCCCAGAGCCCTCACCCCCCTGCACCCCAAATCCCTGCCCCAGCCCAGAGCCCCCTTCCACACCCCGACTCCCTGCCTTAACCCACAGCCCCCTTCCACACGCCGATTCCCTGCCTTAACCCACAGCCCCCTCCCACACCCCAACTCCCCGCCTTAACCCACAGCCCCCTCCCACACGCCGAATCCCTTGGTCCCAGCCTGGAGCCCTCTCCTGCACCCCAAACCCCTCATCCCCAGCCCCACCCCTGAGCCTGCACCCCCAGCCAGAACCTTTACCCCCTCCCACACCCCAAGCCCCTGCCCCAGCCCAGTGAAAGTGAGTGAGGGTGGGGGAGAGTGAGCCACCGAGGGAGGGGGAAATGTAGTGAGCAGGGGTGTGGACTCAGGGAAGGGGGGGATGGGGTGAGGCCTCGGGGAAGGGGCAGGGCTAGGGTTTTCAGTTTTGTGCGATTAGAAAGTTGGCAGCCCGGTGCCTGCTGCTGAATTGATTGAGGATGGGGAAGAGCAGGGGGACCCATGCTGCCCACCCAATCCCCAGGCCTAGGGGGACCCACACCCTAGCTGTCCCATAGCAAGGAAATGCCCACACTCCAAACTGTCTCTCCCCCGGATCTAAGCAGCCATGTTTCTCTCCTGTGCCTCGCTGGGGCCTGCCCGACCCTTTGCTAGATCTGTGTATTGCAACTCATTGTTCCACCTCTCGCTGCAGCTGGGGGATGAGTTCTTGGTGTGGCTCCCGCCTCCCCCGACCGCGCACACCTCCCCCCGCGGTAGTATGTCAGGGATAAAGCGCTGGCCCTGAGCACCTGTTGGGGGACATTCCCAAGGTAAAAGGGCCAGGCTGAATGGCCCGTAGCCGCAGCCAGCCTTGGCTCGCAGGCAGCGGATTGTTTCAGCGGCACTAACTGGGACAGGATTGGTGGCTCGGGCAATGGGGAGCAGGAGCTGGGAGTGTGTTTATTTATGGAGTGCCAGAGGTGCTTTGCACACAAGCCCACAGTCCAGTTAGATGCAGGCCAGCGGGGGGATGGCAAACTAAGATTCAGGGGGAGTGGGGGGGGAAGGGCTCCAGCCAGGGAAGGAGCATGCGCACGGTGTGCTTTGGGGTGAACGTGCCCTGGTGAGAGGTTTGGTTTAGAAAAGACAATGTGCTACGATGTGATGGTCTGGGTGACGCTGCCCTGTACTGGAGACTGGTCAGCGGTGTGCCATAGGCCCGATACTGCTCCTACCCGCCGGTGCTTTTCCAGGAGCAGGAAGGGGCCTGTTTTGGAGCATGAGTAGCTGAGTCTGGTCTGCTGGAAAGGCCTGGGTGGATGTGGGGTGAAGCACAGCAGTGGTGGCTAGGAATTGATGCCAGAATCATAGAAATGTCAGGCTGGAAGGGACCTGAGGTCAGCTTGTCCAGTCCCCTGTGCTGAGGTAGCGCCACTGAACCTGGCTCGAAGGAGCAAAGGCCCCCAGGAGGCAGAGTCCGGCTGGGGACAGGGAGGCACTGCCCAGAAGAGTTCAAGGGGAGATGCTGATTCCCTGGTGGGTCAGTGTGTGTGTGTGTGGGTGGGGGGGGAGTCTGTGTGCGTGTGTGTGGGGGGGG